ATTTTTGTTGCTACTTCATAACTGTCATTTTGCTACTATTATAAATCGGGTGACCCCTGTGAAAGGGTCGTTTGACCCCCAAAGAGGTCACAACCCACAGGTTGTGAACCACTGCTTTAGGGGATAGGATAGTCTTTGTTTACCTGTGTGGAAACCGTGTAGGGTTCCCATCCTGACCTTGTGCACCTGGTAGTGCACCGCATTACTTCCTGCTCAGGTCTTACCTGTCCATTCAGACTCCCGCCCAGTCCTGTTGTAATACAGCCACCAGAGCATCCGCTCGTTGTTGTTATTTGCTACTGAGTCGGCTCCAGCTCACGATGTGTAATTGAGTGAAATGCTGCCTGTTCCTGTGCCACTTCGATTGTTGGCATGCTTGAAGGCACTGTTGCAGCTATTGTGTCCATCCATCTCATTGAGGGTGTTCCTTGTTTGGGTTGGCCCTCTACTGTACCAAGCATGATTTACAAAGCGAGTGAGTCCAAATCTCACTGTCCTTGCTTCTAAAGAACATTCTGGTTGTATTTCTTCTACTGATTTGTTGTTGTTGCAGCCTGGTATATTTGATATTAAGGAACCCTGGTGGCATAGCAGTTACCCATTGGGCTGCGAACCACAAGGTCCGTAGTTTGCAATCACCAGTTATTCCGTGGGAGAAAGATGAGATGAGGCTTTCTATTCCAGTAAAAAAACTGCAGTCCCAGAAACCCACAGGGGCAGTGCTCTTCTGCCTAGCGGTTAGCTGTGAGGCAGAACGGACTGAATGACACCGAGTTTGTGGTCAGGACCCTTCATCAAGCCCACAGCATCAGTTCTTCTGTCTTCCATTTTTACTGCCTACCTATTGCACCACATGATGGAAAAGACCACGGTTTACATCAGAGGTGCCCTAGTTGTCACTAACATACTTACTTTTTAAAACTTCAGAGGTCCTTTGCCGTAGATTTGAGAGTTCCACTTAAGTCCCACATCCTTCATGAAGCCACTTACTATTTCTGCGTGAGCTTTCTGTTTGTTTGAGTAACGTCTGTGTGTCTGTTGTGCTAGAAGAGTAAAAATGATGAAGATCTGGCTGGCCCTTGTCTTAAAGGAGCTCACAGCCTAGAGCTAAACTGTCCGTTATGGTAGCCAGTAAACACCAGTGGAAACTTAAACTTTTAAAACTTAATTTTAAATAAAAATTTCAGGTCCTTAGTTGGAAACTGCATTTGGAATCACAGAGCATGTGCTTTGTTGCAAAAAATTCTCTTGGGCAGCATGCTGGTTAGAAGAGGAAAATGAATTGATACCCAACTGTGATAAATGTTTATTGTACAACTTGCTTTGGCACTTACTCAGATGCGACCTTGTAGTTGTATTGAACTAACTTGCACATCCTCCTAATTAGGAGCAAACTCCTTATAGCCAGAGAACCATGTGTTCTGTCATGTGCCCCGCCTTGCTTTACTCTAGAGCAGTGGTTTTCAACCTTCCTCATGCCGCAACCCTTTAATACAGTGCCTCATGTGGTGGTGACCCCCAACCATAAAATTATCTTTGCTGCTACTTCATGACTGTCATTTTGCTACTGCTATGACCCCTGTGAAAGGGTTGTTTGTCCCCCAAAGGGGTCTCGACCCACAGGTTGAGAACCGCTGCTCTAGAGCATTAGCACATCAAAGCACGCAGTGAATATCCATACGTCCGTGACATTGAATTTTCTACTTGTCATGGAAAAACTTTTCATAGATTGGCTCTTAGGGTTAGCTCAGACTTTTTATATCTTATAAGGGCCAGGGCCCTGGGGAATGCAACGAATTGATCCTTGGCTAACAGTAACGTCTGTTCTAGTTATTTTCCTTCACTGCCTGGGTGGTACAAAGACAGAGTAGGCTTTAGCTGCATGTGGGAATCACTTTGAAGAGTTTTAAAAAATATGCCGACCTCCAAAAAATGAATTAATTGGCCTAGAACGTGGCTTGGCCATTTAGAGTCTTATAACTCTCCCAATGATTCTAATGTGCAAACAAGGTTCCAGTCCACTGGCAGAAGAGATTGAACACCCAGTCCTCATCGTAGTTCCATTCTTTACAACTACAAATCAGTGTGACCCGCACACGACAGTGTTATCCTTTGTCTTACTCAGTGGTGCTCTCCCCCCCTTCTTCTAGTTTCTAACCTCAGTGATGGCGATGGTCCTTCTGACGCTGCTGATGGTCACCCTGGACCCTCCTCAGAAATTACCAGACTTGTTTCCGGTCCTGGTATGTTTTGTATCCTGCTTGCACTTCCTGTTCTTCCTGGCATATTTTAACATTATCATCATGTGGGATTCCAGAAATAGAAGAAATCAGAAGAAAATCAACTAGCTGTATGCCAAACAAAGGTGAACAGTGCCAAAAGGTTTTGTGAATTATTATGTATATGTGAAATTATCATTTTGAGAATTATGGAATAGTGAAGTCATTGTTGTCTACACAAAATAAATGTATATGCAGACCAGTGGAAGCTTTTGTTTTCTAATTATTGCTTGCCAAGGAGATTATAGTTTTGGTAATATTCACAACTATCCAAGTGGCAAAATATGAGTCTAAGTCCCAGTGTTTTACTTAAGAAGTGTACTCTCCAAATTGTCTTAAAAAACTGAAGATACAGTGAATTAACAGGAGAATTTAGCCATTTCTTTTTATAAGAAATCACCAATCTTGGTATACAAATTGAATTTTCCTTATATTTTAGAATTGAAGTAATATGTACATTAGGACAAGCTCAGTTTGTCCCATAGTTTTATCTCATGGAACTAAATTTGGGATAATCTTTTAGTCATTATGAAAGGCAATATATAAAATGATTGGAGTTTGACCAGGCCATATGTCACATACAATGTTTTTTAAAACAATGTGGATAGATTAAACTGTATTTATACATAAGGAAGCTAATTTGTATGGATGCAATGAGTTTCCCCCAGAATTTACATAGAAATTTTAAACGTAATTAGTTTGAGTGAAGTATTTTTAATTATCATGATCACTAGTTCTACATGTGAAGGACCATTCTGTTTAAGTTAAAATTGCCTTAAACGGGATTCTATCCTTCTGTTCTTTCTCGCTCTGACATAGGTCGGGGTCATCACGGCCATAGCCGTCGATCCACACCATGCTGCCTGTTCACTCGGCCCTGCGAACACTGTGTCACTCCAGATTAGCATACGCCCATTTTGACTATCTGTTATATTGGTACGAATAACGTGTTACATCCACGTCATAGCATTTCACTTGCATAAAGAGGGGTTTTACTCTGTATTTTGTGATAAAGATAAAAACCTGTACTTAAAAAAAAATACATCCCTTCCAACATTCAGCTATTAAAGCACACTGAATGGCAGTGTGCTTTAAAGCAATGTAAACCAGACAAAACTACACGCAAAAATTCTACAGATGGACAGCCACGGGCTCAAGCAAGAAGGTATACGTGTTTCAACTAGATAACCCTGATAAAAGAAGTGGGTTTGGACAAAGCCAAAATCAAGAAGTATTTGCTTCTCAAACAAAATGTGCAAAAAGACTCACAGGGCAGGTCGGCACAGAAAAGCAGCCTTGAATCGCTGCAGAATCAGCAGGAACACTGCTGTCCATGGTCACCATCGGTAATCACGGGGCCCAATGTCAGCATTTTGGCTGGCTGGTGTAGCCCTATTTTTTATCATAGCATACTTGCATTTTACACAGGATGTTGCTATACATTTTACAGATTTAGTTAATTGAACTGAGTTACACAGTAGCTTCTCTGGAAAACCAATCGTTATCTAAGTCAAGTGTCTCCCTCCTATTAGAAACTGAGAGGGATTATTTCCTAAAATATCGAAAACGTCCAGTGATGAGTTAGCATCCCAGACACAGCTGAAACATTTCTCCCAGGTAAACTCAGCATTACAGAGATGCGTTAGTATAACAGTACGTGGGTGATGCAAAAAATGGTAATGATGGGAAGCTCTCTTACTTTCTTAACTAATAAACATATCAAAAGGTTCATTTTTTTGTCTTTAGTGACAAACAAGTTAATCTAAAACAAACAACAAATAAAGTTCATATTAGAGAGATGGAGGGGCAAACAGGAACTGAGAAATGGTTTTCTTAGTTTTCCATCATCAAAAAACTTGTTTCCTTCTTAAGAGGAAGAGACTGGCTGTTCATGTATCAAAGATGAAGCATATATAAGTCATTTTCCCTTGAGGACTGAGGGAGGGGAGAAAAATACCCGATGTAGCACTCTGTCCAAGTGATAAACCACAACTGACTGAGTGAAACATTTACCAAAGCCGAAGCGGACCAAGGAAGCCCCTTTGTTCAGTGGAGAGAGAGTTAAGAGGTGGATAGGCTATAACTAAATAATAGTTGGAGGAACACAATGGTTTCAAGTCTCAATTGGTCTCTTTTTCTGTTATGTTCATTGGAACATCAGGGCCAAGAGTATCTCGCCCCTCTCCTCCACATAAACATTAGTTTTGTGTGTGGATCTTTTTGCTTTGTCCTTCATGTGGCCTCCAGGGGTGATAAAGCGAGAGTCATCTGATCTACAATGAAGAGACCTGGGAAATGATTCTTAGCAGACCCAGCTGTTCTGAAAGGCAAAAGCTTAATATATCAAGAGGTCAAACATACAGTAACTTATTTAATAGCATTAAGCACATACCTACATTCTTGGATTACACATGAAACCAATCTCTTCTTAACCCTTTATTTCCCAACTAATGCAGGTTGCTTTATACGTTTTTTGGCTGCCTGCCTAAGGTTAGCTTTCAATGCTAAAGCAATTGTTTTTGGTATAATTTAGGTAACAGTCTAATAAAGAACTGACTCATTAAGTATTGTTAATATTTATCATTTTCTACATGGTACAAAGAAAATCATGTATGAAGGCAATTAGATTTAAGTTAATTGGGTTAATTTTCAATTAAATATTTATATGAAGTCTTTAAAAATACCTAGACTTCATCTTTAGAGGTGAATCTGAAATTTTCCTAAATGAAAACTTATTTCCAACTTTAATTTTAAATTTTGTTTCAGATTTTCACATAGTACTTTTATTTCCATCTTACAATAGTTATATAAAAAATCAGAGCGAGTACTGAGGGAGTAGCATGTTCCCTTTCCCCTCACTACTTTGTGGAAACTGGCAAAATATAAACCAAAACCCCAAATTCACTACTTTGAGTTCAATACTGACTCATAATGACCCTATAGGACAGGGTAGAATTGCCCCTGGGGGGTTACAAGACTCGAACCCTTTATGGAAGTAGAAAACCTCATCTTTCTTTCAGGGAGTGGCTGGTGGTTCTGAACTGCTGACCTTGCAGTTAACAGCCTACTGCCTAACCCACGCTTATTATAGAATGTTTAAAATAATGATATATTCTGTGATTTACATAGAACATCTCCCAACTTTATCTTCTGACAGTGCACAGATGGTACAAACACCACGACAGAAATTAATGCTTCAAAGTGACTTGGTGGGGATGACATAAGAAAGTTCTTTCTTTAAATTCAGTAGTGCCTTATTGTTTGGTTTGAAAATACTTTCCGATAGGAACTGGAAACACAGGGAATCCAGGACAGATGATCCCTTCAAGACCAGTGCTGAGAGTGGCGATACCAGGAGGGTGGGGTGGAAAGGGGGAACCTTACAAGGATCTACTTATAACCTCTTCCCTGTGGGATGGACAACAGAAAAGTGGGTAAAGGGAGTGGGTAAGGTATAACAAAATAATAATTTAGAAATTATCAAGGGTTCATGAGGTAGGAGGGAGTGGGGAGGGAGGGGGGAAATGAGCTGATGCCAAGGGCTCAAGCAGAAAGCAAATGTTTTGAGAATGATGATGGCAACAAATGTACAAATGTGCTAGATACAACGGATGGATGTATGGATTGTGATAAGAGTGTGAGCCCCCAATAAAATGATGTAAAAAAAAAAAAAGAAAAAATAATTTCCTATTTCAATGTTCTACTGAAATTCCATGGTAATATTTTGAAAAAGCAGTGGAATTTTAAAACTTGGTGAATATTTTCTCTAACAAGTCTAGGAAAAAGTAGAAAGAATATAATTAAAAACTCAAACCTTAGAGGCTGGTATACAACAAACTGGTTAACAAATATTTAAAAGAAAAAAAATCTGCAAATTAATTAGCAGCTGGGGCTTTAAATGTGGAAACCTGGAACCTAATTCCACTCACTGTTAGATTTAGTCTGAGTTTCAGGAAGAGACATAGCTTTACCAAACAAACCATTTTCAAAAATGCTTTATTAAGTTCATCCACAAATTACGCACATAAACACGTACGCAATACAGAATATAAGTCAAGATCCTCCTGTACATGGTGACTTACATTAAAGGGTCAAGAAGAAATGTATTATTTACATTGAGATTATCTATCGCTGTGTGTAGAAAGTTTAAATTAGCTGCAAGAAATTTTATCTAGACATGCACCTGCCAACTGCTATGATCTGGTATGTACTGGGTAGATTAATTGCCAACATTTCTTTGGTTCCTTTAAATATGGTCAGGCAAATGCAGAAGTTGGTGCTCACAGTGAGTGCCTTTCTTCTAAATGCCTGTGGAATAGAGAAAAATGATTATTAAACTAGGAAGACTTAAGTCCAAATTAACATGCAGCTATTACCTGACTAAAGAGCCCTGAATAAAGAAATTATATAAACGTCCATTTGCTATGTTACGAGCTTCCTAGGTTAGTTAGATACCGGTAACCTCTCGTTTGCTTATTTTTAAGCCTTTGCAAGATTCACCTTTACAAATAACTCATATGGTGACACTCACAAAACATTCTTCAGGTTATGTGAAGATGGATCCAGAAGGAGCTACTTCTGAGAGTTTAAAAACTCCAACCTAAGTGAAAATATCAAATCTGCATGCCTTTTGTCTATAAGCCTAAAAAGACCCTTTAGCAAGTGTTGCCTGCGACGGGTGCCCCCAAACAGAAAAGACAAAGCATTGACTATGACAGATTCCTATTCTGAATGTGTTCCTCTGAGGCCTCCTAGTGGTGGTAGAGGATCTGGGCCCGTTGCCACGGAGTGCACTCCTGCTGGGTGATCACCCTACAGGAGAGGACAGTGGTCTCGGGTGGCTAAGCTGGAATCTGTGTGGGAGCACAGTTCTGCCACATCTTTCTCAAACCCAGTGGCTGCTGGGTTTGGTCAGCAATTGAGCGCTTTATCCACTATACTAAACTCAGAAACCAAACTCACTGCCATCGAGTTGATGCTGACTCACAGCCGCCACCTTCTAGGACAGGGTAGAACTGCCCCTATGGGCTTTTATTTCAGTAACTTTACCAGAGTGGAAAGCCCTGTCTTTCTCCCACCCTTTATACACACGAGGGTCCTAATAAGACAGCAACCATTGGTGACAATTGGCACACATGGACCGTTCGCTTCTGAGATACCCCCCCTTCCTTGCTTACAGCAGCAGCTTTAGATAACAATGCCTGTGGGCCTCCTCCTCCTCTCTTTGTGAGACCACGTGCATTCCTCGTCCTGGTCTCGAAGAACAAATGTTAACTCTGGCCAAGTCTTGGTTTCGTCTGGGCTGCATTCTTTTAAGCACAGAAGAGTTCACTTAAGGAAACTTGGTGGTGCACTGTTTAAACACTTGGCTGCTAACCAAAATGTTAGCAGTTCAAACCAGACGGCTGCTCGGTGGGAGAAAAGACCTGGAGATCTGTTCTCATAAAGAGTACAGCGGGACACCCAGGACTTAAGGTGGCGTCTGTCGTACCCTTGAAGGAGAAGCGCCTCCTGGATATCAAGACCGGGGAGCTGCCCAGCTGGGAGCTGATACGGGAATTCACCCTGTCGGACAGCTTATGATCGGTATTACAATAAGTACATTAACATGAGGAAGAGGAGCGTCGCTGGTGTGCCCATGGTGGTTTTCAGCTACTGCCTCTCTTCTAAGTGGCTCAAACGGGAGCAATTAGGGAGCACTACTGAGAAACCTGGTTCGAGGGTGCTGCCTGCTTTCCTGGCCTGGTGGCTTGCCCTTTCCCCCTCCCTCTGAGGACGAGCCCTTCCCACCCTGAGAATGTGTGTCCAATAAAAAATAACAGGTTAAAAAAAAAAGGACAGCCTAGGAACTACGCTATCAAACCAGTTCTACCCTGTCCCACAGGGTCACTGTGAGTTGAATCAATTCAATGGCCTGCAACAACAGGGCTACCTGACATCCTTCAGAATTACTGACACATGCCTATCAGAACTAAGGATGACACAGTGAGGGGTGACTCTGCTTTTCTAAAGTTACTATGTCATAATCTCATAAAAAAATATCAGTCCCATTTTATAATCAAGGCTTAGGGGAACTAAGTGCCTTGTTTAATGTCACACAGCTGAATGGGCCTGAAGGGTGGTACTGGATCCCTAACTTAAATCTCCTTCTCTTTTATAATGCCAAGACCTGCAGAGTATGGCTACTAACAGACGTGTGTTGAAAAGGATTCTGAGATGAAACAGGGTTGAGCAAAAAAGCAATACTTTGATCAATGTGCTGCATGCCATAACACAAAAGTAGAATGTTGTAACCGGTTTTGTTTTTGTCATGCTGCTTCTTGAGAAGAACATCCTCTGCTGTACATGTGTATCTGAATTGCAATTCAGGTACAGATGTATAGGAGCCCTGGTGGTGTGCGGGTTTTGTATTTGGTTGCTAACCACAAGGTCAGCAGTTCGAGAGAGAGCTGCTCCAAGAGGCAAAGAAGAGGCTTCCTGCTCCTGTAAAAATTCCCAGCTTTAGAAGCCACAAGGGAAGTTCCGCTCTCCGGTAGAATAGCTGTCAGTCTGAAGTGACCTGAGAGCATTGAGTTTGGATACAGTTCATGGGCAGATTGACAGCATTCATTCTTTGTATAGCAACAGTATTATTCGAACACATTAAACATTTTTGTTGGATTTTTGTTGCTGCTGTTAGATGGTTGTTAGAACCAACCATCAAGTTGGTTCTGATTCACAGTAACCCCATGTTACAACAGAGCCAGAGTCCTGTGCCATTCTTACAATTGTTTTCATGTTTGAGTCGATGGCTGCAGCGACTGTCAATCCATTTCACCCAAGGGCTGCTTCTTTTTCATTGCCTCTCTACTTTAACAAGCAGGTCCTTCTCCAGGGACTAGCTTCCCCAGATAACATGTCCAAAGTATGAGACAAAGTCTTACCATCCTTGACTCGAAGGAGCATTCTGGCTGTACTTCTTCCAAGACAGATGTTTGTTCTTTTGGCGGTCCGTGGCACTTTCAACAGTCTTTCCCAGCACCATAATTCAAATGCATTGCTGCTCCTTTGGTTTCCTCATTCAATGTTCAACTTTCACACGCACATGAGGAGATTGAAAATACCATGGCTTGGGCCAGGCGTACCTTAGTCCTCAAAGTAACATCTGCTTTTCAAGGCTGTGTGCAGCAGATTTACCTAATGCAATGTGTTATTTGATGATGATGATCAATGCTTCCATGAGTATTGATTGTGGATCCAAGTGAGATGAAATCCTCGAGAACAATTTTGTCTCCATGTAGCATGTTACCTATTGGTCCAGTTGAGAGCATTCTGATCTTCTGTACACTGAACTGTAATCCATACTGAAGCCTGTAGCCCTTGATCTTTATCACCAAGTGCTTCAAGTCCTCCTCACTCTCAGCAAACAAGGTGGTATCAACTGCATATGGCAGGTTGTTAATAAGCCTTCCTCCAATCCTGATGCTGGTCTTCTTCAGATCGGTCTGCTTCTGTGGTTCAGCATGCAGACTGAATAAGTATGGTGACAGCATGTAACCCTGACATACATCTTTCCTGATTTTAAACCAGGAAGAATTCCCTTGTTTAGTTCGCACAATTGCCTCTTGACCCATGTACAGGTTCCACAGGAGCACAATGAAATATTCTAGAATTGTTACTTCCCTAAGATTCACTCACCCATCTCTGCCTCCCCCCCACCCCAATGTTGTTCCCTGCCTCTCCTCTTTTACACAATCCCTATTTAAAATAGCAACTTTCTAGAAAAAGTACAAAGTTCTCATTGTGGATGGTTATTTTTCAGAAATTATGCAGAGTTGAATAATTAGAGCTGATTTTAAAAATCATAAACCCTTCAACAATTACCTACTCACCACAACTTGGGATTATCTATGTTGTGAATGTCATTAACACTGCTCAATTTTGATTTGGCTTTTACAGTTTTTATACTCTCTTCAGTCTAAGAGGAGGGCACTTCTTTTTAATTCTTCCTCTATCCACACCCAAGTGAAGAGCGACAAATCTGGCCAAAGCTTAGGACATCCATCAGTTGCCACTTCACTAGTAGTATTACAGGCCACAACTCCGATATAACTTTTCTAAAACCATTTTGTTTCCCTTTCATTGTTTACTACTTGCAAAATCATTGGGCCATTGAGCTTAATTCTGTGTGCCAGGGAGATGAGAGCAGTCCAGTCTACTTCTTTGCCTTGCAAGTAGGCAGGTCATTGGTCTTCACAGATTATAAGTACATGGACTTGGTTTGTTTCAAAGACCCAGCTTTCTCCTTATGTGTAGGAGTGTACCTACGGCACAAGGTTTCCATTCATGATGGGAGAGTAGAGGTCCCATTTCTGTCTAGGGCAGAGTATACATGAGTTACCCCAGCTCCTACCAGGGGTTCTGCCACATTGAAGGCTATCAATTTTTACAATAATCAGTAATACACTAATAATCACTAGTACTTTGATTCTCATTGGAATAATGATCTCTGTACTACTGGCCCGAAACCTAGAAAAAAAATGCGGATGTGAACTTTCATGGCTGATCATAGCCTGCCGTGTTATTTTTCATGCATACGAGTTGCATAATAGCAATCTTGTATTTTCAGGGAGACTGTTGTCTGTGCTATGGAATTGGTTCTGACTCACAGTGACCCCACGTAGCAGAAAGAAGCACCATTCTTCACAAACGTTTCTGTTTGAGCCCATGGCTGCAGTCACTGTCGGTGCAGCTGATGGAGGTCGTTCCCTTCTTTGCCGACCCCTACTTTACCAAGCGTGATGTCTTCTCCAGGAACGACAGCTCCTGACAACATGTCCAAAGTACACAAGGCGACCATGTCAAGAGGCTGGCATTATGTAGTTATTTGTTCATAGTAAGCCTCGTACTTCTGTTAACCAAGTGATTTATCTGTATGGCTTAGATAAAGCCCCTCAGACTTTTGCCACCCTGTGAAATGCATACACATGCATTTTCTCCCCATTCCCTCTCCTGATGAGAAGTTCAAGGTACATATGATGAGGTTTCACTTTAGCACTCGGTGATCTCTGAGTCGCTGTCCACTTTACTTGCTGTCTTAGGCTAACATTGCTCCAGGAAGGCTTCACCCTGTAAAGGCTTGTGCGGTGGCTTCCCTCCACTGAACAATGAGTACTGGTCTGTGAGGGCGGGCAGGAGCTGGTGTGCGGATAGGGAAGTTGGCCACAGTAATCTCAGGAACTCTCTCATGGGTTTCTAGGGTTGGGACATGGAGAGTCTAACACCCTCATCTTACCTGGTGGGCAGCGATGACAGATATATAAAAGGAGAGCAATGGGGTGGCCAGTGGAGGAGGAGAGGGACCTGGGAAGCTAGTGCACGGTGGGTTATAAGCAGCTTCTGAAGGAGGGGTACATTTTGACAACTGATAATGGGAGAAAGCCATGCCAGGCTGACGAGGCAAGAGCAGAGACAAGGAGTTGGGAAAGGCATTCTGGAGTGACCAAGGTATAAGAGGGAGGAAGTGGGATGCAATCTGTCGTCAGATCAGGGGTGGGGGGGGAGTTGGGGTGGGGGGTGTAGGGGGGTTACTGAATTTCAGACTACATTTGGATTTTATCACGTGATGGAGTGCTAACTTCAATGGCGCTGATTTGTCAACAACTCTGCCTATGTGAGTAAGAGAACAACGAGCAGGTTACCACAGGGACGATGATCATCCGCTGAATGATGAGGAAGGACTCAACCAGTGGAGAGTGGATGGCTACTGTGTAGTGGGAAAGAACATGGGCTCTCGGCGTTGGGGGAGGGAAAGAGAACCACATTTATGGAGGGTTTAACAGGGTACTGCTGATTTCATTTGTTGAGATGGGCAGTTTATCTATATACAGTGTGCTTCTTAAAAAACACAAACCAAACCAAACCCAGATTCCTTACCCCCTGGACCTAAATATTGGTCTGAGTGTTTTAAAAAAAGGCAGAAAAGGAACCTGAAATGGATGTGGAATCTTTAGTGACAGAGAAGCTCATTTCACACATAAGAGGAAGAGAACACGGGCTCGGGCAGCAGACTACTCGGGTTCGTAGCCAGGTTCACTGAGGCCTGCTGCTGCTTACCTTTGGGAGCCTCAGCCCCTTTTCACCTATGCAATCAGACAGCTGCTACCTCTACCTCATATGAACTGACGGGCAGATTAAATGGGATACGTGGAGCACGCGTGTTGGCCATCTTAAGATTATATTTATCTGTGCAACAAAATAGAGATTTTAATTCATGAAAGTGGCACAATTTTCTATATGAAGATACTTTGCAAATATTTTAAGTACTGCTAATTTATTAGGAAGCTTTATTTCCAAACTTGGTTTTCAGGATCGAGTGTAACTTTAATTTTGCTTTAGATTTTCCCGAGACAGCAGACACTATCTGATTAGCTTCTAGGAATCTTAATATTGATTTCACTGAATATAGGCTAATATAATACTCTTTGGTAGTGGAAACTTTTAACCACAGGTATAAGAAATATTAATATTATACGATGAATGCGCATCTTAAAATTAAAAACCAAAACCCAGAAACCTTCAATGCCATTGAGTTGCTCCCACCTCATAGTGACCCTCCAGGACAAAGCAGAACTGTCCCTTTGAGTTTCCAAAGCTGTCCCTCTCTAGAGAGTAGGCAGCCTCATCTTTCTCACGTGGAGAGGCTGGCGGGTTCAAAGTACTGACCTTGGGGTTAGCAGCTCAATATTCCAGGGCTCCATTTTACAAAAAGCTATTTATAAACTTTGTTTTCACTTTTTGGGGGGTAAATCTATAGGAACTGTGTTGAAGGAAAGATACAATTATTTATCAATTAATTAGGGAATGTACTAAACTGATAAATAAAACATCAATTTAGCACATTTATAAATTTAAGACTTACTGTGTCTTGTTCAACCATATGGGTACTATAGAAGTTACGGTCCACCCGCCAGAATCAAGTCAGTCATTTTACTCAAGGTGCTCAATAAGGGCCCTCTTTATCTCCAGTTAAGACAGGGCTTCAAAACGTTTGTGAGAAAACGGCATCCACCTATGTAGCCACTGGCACTTTTTTTTTTTATTAAAAAAATTTCCCCAAATGTTTGGTTATTAACGTTGTTGTAGACTGTCTATGTTACAGAATTTACCAGTTGTCCTTTATTCTTGGGTACTGCTCAGTGCTCTTGTTGACCTCGGCCACATTGTGCCCACCCCCTCGAGTATGTGCTGCCTCAGTCTTCAGCAGAATCAACACAGAAATAAGTGTCCAGTCAGTGCCCCTCCCATCCCTGCTAACCATCAACGAGTGCTACTTCCTAAAAGTGGTATCACAGTGGCCCTTTGGTGGTTAACTTATTTCAGTCAGCATAATATCTTCCAGTTCTATTATAAGGTGCTTTGCAGACTCATCATTATTTCTTATCATTTGGTGTTCTTCAATCACACGCTACCTCAGTGATTAGACAGATCCTGTCAAAGAGCCCTAGAATTTATGAGAAGAGATCGACTTTCAACTAAAGTCTACAGCTCCTGTCCCTAGTTCCTCTGTGGGAAAACATGCCAAACCGGAGAATGTAAATAAAACGTCCACCTGAACACAACACGGGACTTCCACCAGGCTCGACCTAGTCCGAATGGGAACAGCACCTCGCTCGCTGCAGGCTGGCTCTCAGGAACTCATAGCTGTCACGGTGACGGAGTCCTGCATAAAGAAAGAAAAAGTTTCTTTTTCCCCACCCAGAATACAGAGCAGAGTAACTTGTCACACTGAATCACAATTACTATAAAAACCCGAAATGGAATGGTTTATTTTGCATTACAAATTGCAGCTTTACATTCTCATCCTACTATTTTGCCTAATTTCTATTTCAATACATATATTTTTACATTTAGTATGAAAACTGTCAAGAGATGTATTATGATGTAGCTTCCTGCCATTATTAGTATGCTATTGGGGCTTATTAGATGAGGTAAGTAAAAATGTATTGCTACAAAAATCATAGAAACCTTTATTGCGCAAATATATCACAAGCTCCCTTAGGAGGGTACTTAAGCTAAGCACATAGCTGAGAGAACTAGTCTGCAGCCATTCACCGATTACAGAGAAGTCTAAGTAAGAGTTCAACACTTTTGGCTTGGAAGAAGCCCTGCATGTATATACACTGGAACCCTAGAAGCACCGTCTCTGAACGACTGGCTTTTGTGGTGCATCCCTTCCTCCCGAGAGCGGGTGGCTGTCTTCTCATCGACATGTCGCCAGCGTGGGAACACGGCCTAGACGACACAGGTAGTCCATAAAGATGAACAAATAAACACACGTAGTATGTGTAAGGTGACAGGGATTGTAAACAATTTATAAACATTGTATAAACATTGTAAACTACTTAGACAACCCTTTAAAAACTTCTCGTAGTGGTCATGTTTTCATTGATGAGCTCATTCAATGAACATGCATTGTGGACCTCTATCCTCGGAACTAGGCTACAACAGAGATGGGGAAGGCTTTGACTTCCACAGAGACGCTCAGAAAGAGCTCTGTGAATAGACAATTACAACAACACTGGAACACTACGGGAGCCCTGGTGGCACAGGGGTTAAAGCTCAGATGCTAATTGAAAAGTGGGCAATTCAACCCCACTAGCTGCTCCTTGGGGAAAATATGTGGTAGTCTGCTCTGTAAATATACACAACCCTGGAAACGCTCTGGGGCAGTTCTAAGATCACAGAGTTGGAACTGCTTGGGGGTGGGGTGGATGAAGTTATAAATGGTACACTTCAACATTTATAAACATCCCAAGTACGGGGGTGCCTAGAAGATGAAACTATGTAGCTCTGTCTAAGAGCCGGCCACCACTGTCCAGGGCGCCTGTGCCTCGCTGTGGTGCTCCTGCAGAAGCTGCCGCCGCTTCTCACATCCTCCCGGTGCAGGCCTCCCGTGAAGACAGGCCAGGGAGCAAGGCCCTGTGATCTACTGGAAACTGGCCCTTGAAAGGCTTAGAGATCACAGAACACTGCCCAACTGTCCTGCGTTGTACACGACACCAGAAAGGGCCAACCGCTAGAGCACGGCCTCATGCTTAGTGAAGGAGAGGCCAGGGAGGGCGAGCGAGACCCCAGGAGCACATGCCAGTGATTTTAAGGATGCCCTAGGACTGGACAACTTTTGTTCAGTTCCTAAGGTTGCCAGGGGAGAGCCAACTCCAGGAGCTCTCCCTGTAGGAGAGCACTGGGCAGCTTACAGAGGATGTGACATTGAAGGCTGACCTTCAAGGACCAGCAGGAGTTTGCTCCAGGAGAAAGAGGACTCTGGAGCGAGGAGAAAGCACTAGCGTGGCTGGAGTTCTCAATGGGGGATGCCTGGGAGCTGAGGCCTATGGCGTGCACTATTGAATAATAACGACCATCTACCTGAGGTTAAGGAAGAGGAGAAATCACTTGATATTCACTTATTAAAAGTCTTTATGATATAAGTACTTATGAGATTATAAATATCTGCTTTATCATTATATATGTGTTTAAATTATACAAACCACTTACTTACAGAATGTACTTAATCCCTTGGTGAGGTGGGTGCTTTCTGACTATTTTAAAAGTTAAAATGGGGGAAGAAATGCTCACTTGTCAGGTGACAGAAAACCAATTGCTCTGAAATTTGCCAGAATGATTTTTCTCGGCTTCCAGAATAGTTAGTCTTCAGTCTATTCCTTACTGTCTTTTCATAGTATTTTTATTTAATGAAACCTATTAAGACTACCATACAAATCTCTTTACTTATGCTTTTATCTTTTAACTGATCAATTTTTATATTGCTGACATCCCTTCTTTGCCATTTGCTCATTTAAAAATTCATAGTATGTGAGATATGTCTCTGGAGAAAATGTCTATAAAATTTGCTACAGCTGGCAAATGTGTATGAGTCAGTGATAGCACATGACTAAATGCTTCACAGAAAATAAAATTTGTTTCTGTAGTAAGCAGAACTGTTTAAATGTTATTTATTTTTATGTTTCAAAGAAAATATATTGTGAAGTGCTGCATTGATTTAATACGCAACAATGTCTGTGTACACGCTGTAGAAGGAAAATTTATGAAACCTTTGCACAACTCCTTTAATTGAATTTTCCAAATCTCTCACCACACACAAATAATCAATATCTTCTGCAGAGAAAACCAGTCAGAATTATTACAGTCTTTCTTTTCAATTTTGTTGTCATCAGCACATACAGAGCACCTGGATATTTGTAATGTCTGATACAAGTTATTTACACCTCCTTAGCACATAATTGCTAGTGAGTTCAAATCTGCCGTCCTAAATTGTTTAGTGATTATGTAAAAGGTAAAAATTATACTTCCAGTAAGGCATACAAAAAATTAAATCGTAGGAGAAGTTATTGAAAAGGCACAAAAAATCATATCATTGTAAAGGAGGGTGAGTGCAGAGTGGAGACTCAAAGCCCATCAGTAGGCAACTGGACACCCCCTTACTGAAGGGTTGTGGGGAGGAGATGAGCCAGTTAGGGTGCACGGTAGTAACGATGAAACATATAACTTTCCTCTAGTTCTTGAATGCTTCCCCCCCCTTCCCCGCCACTATCATGATCCCAATTCTACCTTACAAATCTGGCTAGACCAGAGGATGTATATTGGTACAGATAGCAACTGGAAACACAGGGAATCCAGGACAGATGACCCCTTCAGGACCAGTGGTAAGAGTGGCGATGCCTGGAGGGTGGAGGGAATGTGGGGTGGAAAGAGGGAACCGATTACAAGCATCTACGTAAAGCCTCCTCCCTGGAGGATGGACGGCAGAGAAGAGGGGTGGGAGTCGGGGGAGACGTTGGGCAGTGTAACATATGACAAAACAATAATAATTTATGAATTATGAAGGGTTCATGAGGGAGGGAGAGGGGGAGGGAGGGGTAAAAATGAGGACCTGATACTAAGGGCTCAAGTAGAAGGCAAATGTTTTGAGAATGATGGCAACAAATGTACATATGTGCTTGACACAATGGATGTATGTAAGGATTGTGATAAGAATTGTATGAGCCCCCAATAAAATGATTAAAAAGAAAAAACAAAAGGCATTGGAATGTAAGAAACCAGTTTGTTTTCCTCAGGTCCTAGACAAATCTCAGGAAAGCACTGGAGTGTCAAAACATATCCCCCTGAATGGTGATGGACAGATAGTGTAAAGCAGGAGCATTAGCACCAGCATCAGAGGGAAAGGCCTGCCCACAGACAGCACGCACAGCAACCCAGTCCTAACCCAGCGCTGTGTGTTACTGTATATTTGTGTCACCCAAATTAAGTAACCCGAGTATTTAATCTCCAGGTAGGCCTAGAATGTTTAAGCATAAGTGGCGGGGTGGGAGTGGGGGAGATTTTTGTTGTTTCTCCTCAAACTCATCGCGTCTAAACTTTGAACCTCGGTGTTTTTAAACTGGAACTGTTTGAAAAAAGATATTGCTTAATGTTAAGATATAACAGAAAAAAATAATAAAAAGGGTAGTCATCTCCTGGGAGTAAAATTATTTAGCCAGAATGATGAATCCTTTTTTCTAAGACCGAGTGGGGAAAAGAACAATTTATTTCTAAGTTTACCAAATCCTTCAGTGGGTGCTTAGAACGAAAAGGCAATACCAAACTCTTTCACAGCCTGAACAACAGAAGTTTACAATGTCTGAGGATTTGATATCTTCAAAATCCTACACCCAAGATGAATGTTACAACGTAGGAACACAGTAAGCTAACTAAACAGAAAACAAGAACATTACAGTTTGTGCTTCTTGTTTAAGGCCAGAGCTGGAGATTCTGAAATATTTTCTATTACAAACAGCTGAAACAATCAACTTTGGGGAACAATGTAAAGTTCAGATGGTTACATTTTCATTTAAAATATGCATACTGCAACCTACACAATTATTCTCGAAACAGATAAAATGTGTTTTGGACTGAAGCTAAGTGTTTAGATTTCATATCTTGGCTACCATTCTACAATTTGCTTACATTCTTTTTGAAAACATTTTGTTTACTGAAAGTCCTAATTCTAGACAGACAATGATGGTATTTTTAAAAATCTCTGGGGAAAAAAATGAAAGAACTGGGCACCCTATAAAGCCACCTATTGACTAAGGAATATTTGTATGAAGTTGTTTTAAGTTGAACTTGGTTACGTAAAGTAAATAAATGTCATGCTTTACCATGTGATGGAAGTATGACATTCCATCTGTGTCAGCCCATTGAATGGTCATATGTTTTAAATCTTCAGCATAACAAATTAAAAATAATTATGAAAATTCACATCCAAATCTCACAATAAAAGAAGCTTTCATTTTGTTATTTTTCCTATTAGTCATAAAGCCAATATTATTAGGAAAGTGAAGTTAGGCTTACTTCCTAAGTAACTGAAGCAAGAAAGAAGCCTTCTTTTGTTTAAGAAGTTCATAGTTACTGAGTAGATATCAACTTTTTCATATATTCTCTCAAGGCATTCCTTGATTTACAAAGTCAGTTTTTTCTGGAGAAAAAAAAGAAAAGAAAAAGGAAATCTCAGTGTGCTTCACAGTGCAGTGGATTACTGAACACATGGCCCTGAAGCCACGCCTTTGTTGTTCTCACCAAGTGACTTCTGTGCCCCTGGGGGGTCTGGGCAGCATGGTGAGGAAAGAGACACTGATGGGACTGGATGATTCTCGTGACTGCCATCCTGTGGGCCTAAAATGAGCCATCTCAGAAGCATGGTGGGGATCGCCCTACCAGCAAGACAGAAGAGCCAGGTGTGAAGCGTGCCCTTCGGACCTGAAGATCCCGAGACAATGACTCAGGAGACAGCTTTGACACCGGAGTGGCTGCGCAGAGGAACAGCAAGCAGTAAAACCAGGAGCCAGGGCATGGGTCAGAGCCATGGGCTTCCCAGCCCTTAAAGCAAGGAAAGCTAAGTGCCTTTGGGGAGGAGGGAGGCTGGCTTTTTGAGCAGGGTGCCTTTGGCCATTTAACTGGGGGAGCTGGGTTCTTGCTAACCCATGGAGCTGGAGCTTAAGGCCTTCAGGTTGAGGATTATAGCACAGTCATGCTGTTTGGACATTTTTTAGCAGCTCTAAAAGAACTCTGTAACGTTGGCTGGGCAGAGGCCAGACCAAAGGGCTGAAGGCCACAGTGAGGCCTGCCTTTGGGCACAGCAAGGAAGAAACTGTCTTGACTAAACAATTGTATCCTGAGCATTCCTCACCTGAATTGTTACCTGTTAACTTCCCTAGTAAACTGCATAATCATTGGTATCCTCTATGAGTTGTGTGGCCCTTGCAATGAATTTTCAGACCCCGCTGAACAGTAGAGTGCCGTGGGACTGACAGTGTGTGTGAGAATGGGGTTAAGAAGGATGGAGGTTGGAGGTAGCCCCGACACCTGCATGTGGCAATCAGCCTTGGGCACTGAAGGCGGTAAGATTTGGCCCCTAACCTGTTTTTTTCACGTACCTTTTCATAGGATTGTTCATGGTTTAAATTTCCTCTCATAAGTTAGATAAAGCATTCAGAGTGTGTGCTAGATGCTTATTTATTTAAAACATCAGAGTATTACTTTTACAAACATAATCATCTTCCTGTACATTACTACAAGTGATTTTAAGCTAAAGAAACAAGCAATGAAAAAAAAGTAAAACCCAACAGAATACAAGGACCAATTTGATGGGATGATGACACTACAGATAGTGGAATTCTCTTGGCATTATTATCAATTTGATAAGAATCTAAGGGTGTTCTACTTTGACAATTCAAGAATTTGTTTATTCTAATGTTCATAATTACTAAAATGAAACAAATGCAATACCTATAACAGGGCTAATTTTTATTTTATATAATTTCTAAGCTCATGGAGATTAAAAACATTCTTACTTTAAACAATTCTTAGTAACAGCACAGTTAGTGAAGAGCACATCAACAAAAGTGCCTTGTGCAAAGCCACGGGTTGGATGGGCGCGCCGGGAAAGGCAGCTGTGAAGCAAGCTAGTTTGAAAAAACTAGCAAAGGGTGTCTTAGCACAAATGACTGTTGACTTTAAGAAATGCCACCATGTTTTCCAGCAAATGATGTGCTAAATCGCTTTGGTTTCCCCAACAGCATCATAATATGTTGTCATAAAAAATGAGCACAGCACACTTCTGAAAATATCTCACAAGAGGAAGGAGAGTTTGGCAAAACAGCAAGCTTTCAATTTGCATAAAAATATGGCTTATGGCTCAAACTCAAAGTACAAAGAAAATAAGCTTCAATCTGTTTTTCATATAATACTAATCTTCAAAAATTAGTTGTAAAAGTTAATGAAGATTTTAATACCTTGAGGAATATAAAGAACTAATGTAGCTCTTGCTTAGATACAGAAACTGAAGATGACTGATGTTTATCTATCGCCTACACACGATAGTATTTACAATACTATAGAAATACAGGATTAAAACATCAAGACGCGAGGCTACGCTTGCTCTCCATCTCCATCTAAGTCTATCCTTGTGAAGGTCATCGTTTCCTCTCGGACCCTTCCTGAAGAAGTCTGTGCTCTGATTTCTAACATGTCAAAGGGGCAGTTTTGGCATCCTGGAAGGACACACACTGAGTTCCTTTTCAATGTTCTTTTTAACACTGGAAACAAAAAGAAGTCTTAAGGGGCAAGATCATGGAGGTAGAGTAGATAATGGGGTAAGGGTTCCCAAGGAAAGTCTAGGACAGGCCTTGCTACCCAGGAAGAAAGACTAGGAGAGTTGTAGTGGGATGCAAAGAAATTCCTGGTCCAATTTGAAACAATGCAGTTTTCCAGGTAAAACTGCTTTAGTACACTTCCATGGCCATCCTGTGCCCTTTGGAAAAAATTCTACAAAGAGTACTGCCCTCTCTGCTTTGAACTGAACTGGCCCTCAGGGTGCTACTGTCCTGATTGGACCTGTTTTTTAAGGCACCCTAACAAGACTATGATACGTGTATCACCGAGAGAACTACTGATCACAGAGACCCACTTGAACATGCTTTGTTTGAAATAAATCTGGGCAGGTGGGCAATAGAACTACAGGAGTAATACTTTTAGACTTACTCTCCTATATGTTAACTCAGTTTTCCTTCCAGTAAAATAAATAATCAGTGCTTATTAGAAAAAAATTAAAACATGATTTAGTGTTACAATCTCCACTATGCATAACACAATTTAAATCTTCCACACGTCGTAAAGGGCAAGTCAGTTTTAATGCCTAAAACATTACAAAATTGTCTTGAAGTTGATCATACATACATATAAAAAGAATTGGTACATGGTGGATAACTTAAAAAAGATGACAAAATTACACTTTATAGGGGGAAAAAGTGTTTCAACAGAAAGATTATAGTTTCAATGTCTTCTTTAATTTTGGATGAATACTATTAGAATTTGTTTACACTAATTATCAGCCATGACGATTCACGTATTTGCTTTATAGTTTTTCTCATTTCTTGGAAGTGGGCAAAAGCCAACTATGTAAAAGCCCAATTCTAATTATTGTGTTATGAGGTGCTGTCGACTTGGTTCCAACTCATAACTCTAATTAGTTCTAGGAAATTACAAATTACAGAAAAGATATTGGTGTAGAAATATATAAAGGAAATACTTCTTTGACTTGGAAAATAGTAAACATCTCAATTTCCCATTATGATCCTTCAAGACATGTCAAATTAAGAGAAGTTGAACCACTGAAACCCAGTTGCATATTTTATCTAAATTAAATAGTCAACGAAGTAAATGAAAAGTTTCCATGCCCTTTCTAAGAAGTGGTCCTTTAATGTTTTTAAATTTGGGGCATCACAGAGGATGTTAGCTGCTCAACTGAAGCAGCTGCTACCATGACCCACTTGGTTTCTGTCACGACCAGTGGGAATCCCAGCACTTTCCACTGCAAACTCTTTACTGGCTTTTCAATGGTTCTAAACCCAGTCTAGCATGCTATGTTAATTGAACCAGTTCCAGGTATGCCTTGTGTTTCAATAGGAGTGGCTTCCAGAAGTAGCAACACTGAATTGTGAAAGCACTAGTTTTCTAGGTCAGGCAGGTCTGTAGTTGGAATTCCTGCTCTGTCAATTACTAAAGCAGTGTTTGGGGAAAATTACTTTGCCTCCTTGTCTGAGAATAGGTATCTTGCCATGTTACTGTATCTACGGATACTAGCATTGGGAACATAATTACTGATACTCAATAAATGAGAGCCATTGATAATAAATAGTAGCAGGTAATATTATCCAGTGCAAAGCCTAACTCTGTAGAGATTATTAAATGGTATCCACACCAGTATGTTCACTCTGAAGTTGGTCCAAAGGTTTCAGTATTTTACAGTCCATGATTATTTTGCTTACTGAGGTGTGGAGAGATTCATATATATGTCCTATGGGAGCTTAAAAAATGAAAATGAGAACATATTTCTATCACTGAGATGTGAAAAGAAAATCTCCTTAATGGACACTAGACTCATTTTCTTTTATAACTAAAAATTGAAAGAGTAAAAAAATATATACAATTACTAAAGACAATCTGATATAATTAGTAAAGATGAATGAATGTCTCTTCTCCAGCACACTAGTTAGAAGGTAACTTTTTATTCTTTGTGTAATCTTCTAATGCATCATTTAAAAACTGTGCTATACTATAGTATTATTGCACCAAATTATATTCTCAAAAGATAATTTTTAATAAAAAGATGAAATTGTAAACGGAATGTTGTATATTAGGGGACATTAAGAAAGCCCACTTTATCAGGGAAGTTGGTCTCATCAGACTTGTTCTTTGGCTAAACACAATGTAAGGGTTTTCAGATGAGACTCATGGCCCTTTCAAAGAACACACTAACCGGGAATCATGGATCAGGTTGAATGAGTGCAGGAGGAGAACGGGCCTCCTTCCATAACTGAAGCACAGGCCCTTACCTTTTTGAGGAAGTCCTGCACGCTGCTGCTCAAACAGCTTTTGTTCTGTTGCCTTTGTCACTAAAAGAACAAAATAACCCATAGAATAATTCCTCGTTAATCGGAAGAAACAACTTCATGGAAAAAAATTCATTGTAATATTTATATATTTTATTTTTAAAATGAGTACTACATAAAAAAAAATCAACTGCTAATTGTCAAGGTATATTCCTTTCAGATTCAAGAACTGTCCCTAAAACACCAGTCTGTTCCAAGGTGATATGTTACTATTTACGGTAAATGAAATAGTAGTGTTTCTAACCCAAGTCCAGTACTAGTATGTAAAAGAAGTCTTCAGTTTAAATTTGAGAGAAGCGAATAGTTTAATAGCGAAAACCAATAGGAAACACTCATCAATTTTTCTTACTTAGCTCTTTGGTTTTCTGCATTTCTCTTTGTAAGAAACACGATGCACAGGATATACCAATGAGGCTTTCAAGTTCTTTCCTGCTTTCCAGAGCCTAAAAGAAAGTCATTTTAAATGAATTAAGTTTACATATATAAAATAACTGAGATTTTAGAGCAGTGGTTCTAAACCTTCCTAATGCCACGACCCTTTAATACAGTTCCTCACGTTGTGGTGACCCCCCTTCCAGCTATAAAATTATTTTCGCTGCTACTTCATGACTGTAATTTTGCTACTGTTATGAGTTGTAATGTAAATAACTGATATGCAGGAGGTATTTTCATGGTTACAAATTGAAAATAATTAAAGCACAGTGATTAATCGCAAAAACAATGTTTTCACAAAAATCACAAAAACAATTATATATTGTGAAATATTTATTTCTAGTTCCAAATAAATGAAATTTTTTCTTGAAGCTTGGTGTAGCATAGGTAACAGTCTTTATGCCGGGTACTCGTATGTGGGCATATCTGCATGTGAGTGGACCAACCTGAAGACCGGTGGAGGAGTGGTGTCTCGGTTCCTAAGACCATCGGAAATATGTGTTTCCCAGTGGTCTTTGGTGACCCCTCTGAAAGGGTTGTTCAACCCCCAAAGGGGTTGAGACCCACACAGGTTGAGAACCTCTGCTATAGAGAATAAAATACGATAAATGGTTTCCTTCACTTAAAACTTAAATGTTAGGAAATCAATTTTCCTGGTCAACACTTAAAACCCTAAAATCTTAGGTAAAAATAACTTATGGTGAACTAAGAAAACTGAACCTATGTTACAAATTTACTCTTGAATATGCAATGCCAGATAGTACTAACCTATTATGGTTAAGTAACATTCATATATAAAAAGTCCCATGAAAAGTAATTTTAAACTGGAAAACTTTTCTGCAAAAACCTTCCTGAACTAGAGGCTCACTTTGAGGCTTCTAACTTATTCTTCCAAAGAATATATGAAAAATTTGAAGTATAAAGTTACGTGAAAAAGAAACAAAAGTCAAGGGAGAGGAGTCAAGATGGCATTCAGAATTGGGAGTGGGCATGCAGACCCCACCAGGGCACACCAAACCAGGAGGGCAACGTAATCACGTGGAGGAATGCATGAAAAGATTGGGCTACAGGGCTGGCCCAACCAGAGCCAAACTGACCACTCCCTGCCCCTAGAAGTATGTGTGACAGAGAACAACCCTAAACCTTCAAGTGGGGGAAAGGAGCCAACTTACCATGCCCACACAGAAGCAAACCAAGAAGGAAAAAGAAAGGGGCAGTCGGCCTAGACTCCATATTGGCACACCAACCCCAGAGAATGATGCCCCTTCAAGGAGCTGCTAAGGTATAGAGAGGGCTGTGGAACTACCAAGAACTCAAGACATGTCCTCTAACGAGCGTACAGCAACAGAGGACAATAATTGGACACACAGAGGGGATATAATGTGGCCTGAATCCCCCGCAGCAGGATAAACCAAGAAGGGAGCATACCAGATCAGCGATTGGAGCAAAGCCAATCCACACAACCCCTAAAGAGCCCCCCAAACAGACTCAGGCTAGGAGGGGCAGCCCCTGGAACTCTCCCAGGACCAGGAGGGAAAGACTCATAAGGGTCAACGGACAGACCAGGAACTGTGTTTGGTTTTTTTTGTTTTTCTTCTTTTTCCTCTCCTTTTCTTTTTTCAACCTTTTGTTTTCTTATTGTTTGGCTTAGGACACTGTTGTTTGCCTACTTATCTAAGACAGACATGGGAAGCAAGCTCTTGGAGAAAGCAATGGGGCCAAAGGCCCTGAGGGGTCTTGGGGGAAGAAGCTGGGTGGGGGTGGGGGTGTGTGGAGGAGTGGGGTGAACAAACCATGCCATAGACAGGGGAACAACCAGGGAATTAAAACCAACATCTAGGAGGTTGTAGAGATCCTATGGGTATTAGAGCAACAGCAGTCTAGCTGAGAGAAAGTACTAAGAGGTGGAAGAAGGGGGAATGTGACGGTGGGGCAGGAGGAGGCAAAAGGAAACAGAGGAAGGCTCTAGAAAGCAAAGCTGTATATAGATAGAGGTATTAACAGAGGTATATACTTATGTAAATACATTAAGCCATAAAAATAGAGGTATTGGCCTATGTACATATACAGTGAACCCTCGTTTATTGCGGTTAATCGGTTCTAGACCCTACCGTGATAAATGAAATTCCGCGAAGTAGGATTCCTTATTTGTCAATCAAATATTTTCGTAGTTAGAGCATAGAGGACACGAAAAAACACCCTTTAGTCACCATTACACTCGTATTACCCAATTTATTAAACGAAAAAGGGAAAATACAGTAAAACATTTTGGACGTTACAATTATCATTTATTATTTATTATATTATTTATGGCATCACGCGTGTACAGTATGAGCCAATCAGTGGCAGTAATGACAGAGCATGCGCTGTTACGCAAAAACCACGATAGAGTGAAGCCAAGGAAGTCGAAGCGCGAAGTGGCGAGGGTTCACTGTATTTATAAGGCAATACTCAGAGGCTGAGGATGGGCCTTGGGCCTCAGCTCTTACCCTCCCTCAATACAAGAACAGTTTGTTCTAATAAAATGGCATTTGTAAATAGCACTTGTGATGCTCACCACCACCAGCTTCCCCCCCTCCCCCCCCCACACACACATGATCGCTGAAGACAACATGGGTGCATAAGCAGATGTGGTGAAGACAGAGGACGGTGCCCGGTGATTAAAAGATACAGCGTCTGGGGTCTTAAAGGCTTGAAGTTACAAGTGGCCATCCAACAGCGAAGCAACAAGCCCACATGGAGGAAGCACACCAGCCGGTGTGACCATGAGGTGTCATCAGGACTGGGTAACAGGCACCAGAAGATTCATAACCAACAACAAACAAACAAAACGAGTTGGTGAGAATGAGGGGGGTTGGAGCGGAGACCCAAAGGTCATCCTTAGACAATGGAACATCCCCCTCACAGAGGGGTCACAGAGAGGGAATGAGTCAATCAGGGTGCAGTAGAGCACCAATGGATCATGCAATACACCTCTGGTTCCTCGAGGCTTCCTCACCCCCTACTATCATGACCCCAGTGCTGCTTCCCACTCTGGACTGGACCAGGGCATGTACATAAGTAAAGGCAAGAGAAAAAGCTCACAGCACATGGAACCCAGGAACAGGAATAGTGATATCAAATGGGTAGGAGGAGATGGGGAGAGGTAGGGAGGAAGGGGGTACCAATCGCAATGAATGGCACATAACCACCTCCACCCCCCTCCAGGGGAAAGAACAACAGAAACCAGAGGGAAAGGGAGACAGCGGTCAGTGTGAGATATGGAAACAATAACAATCTATAATCTATCAAGGGGTCACTGGGGGAGGGCTCATCCCAAGGACTCAATAGAAATAAATGTCTAGGAAAGTACAACAGCAATATATGTACTAATATGCATGACACCATAGATTTATGGATTATAATAAGAGTTGTAAGAGCCCTCAATAAAATGATCTTACCCAGTGCTCCAAGGTGTGAAGACAACATGCCGGCGCAGAGTAGGGAATCAGTGGAGAGGGCTAAGGGGCTGGTCCCAGCCCCAAATACTAAGTGGATGCCTGCCCCTCCCCTGAGAAGA